GGTGTCGAATAAATCTGTGTCGAATCGAGCGGTGTCGAATCGTACTGTGGTCAATAGAGTATCACCCAATAAAATCATGGAAATCGTCGAGACGGACCGGCATGTGAGCACTTATTCCATTGCCCAGAAACTGAAAATTAGCCAGAAAACCGTTTGGAACTATTTGCATAAGGCTGGTCTCAAGAAGAAGCTCGATGTATGAGTGCCACACGAATTGACGCAAAAGAACCCTTTGGGCCAAATTGATGCCTGCGATTCTTTGCTAAAACGTAACAAAACCGACCCATTTTTGAAACGGATGGTAACTGGTGATGAAAAATGGGTCACATACGAGAACAACAGCCAAAAAAGATTGTGGTCTAATTGCGGTGAGCCGGCCCAAACGATCGCCAAGCCCGGATTAACGGCCAAGAAGGTTTTGCTGTGTGTTTGGTGGGATTAGAAAGGAATCATCCACTATGAGCTGCTCCCATCGGGCCAAACACTCAATTCGGACCTCTATTGTCAACAATTGACCAGATTGAAGTAGGCAATCGACCAGAAGCGGCCGGAATTGGCCAATAGGAAGAGTGTTGTGTTTCATCAAGACAACGCTAGGCCACACACATCATTAACGACGCGCCAGAAGCTCCAAGAGCTTGGATGGGAGATTCTATTGCACCCGCCGTATAGTCCAGACTTGGCACCAAGCAATTATCACTTTTTCAAGCATTTGCAAAATTTTCTTGATGGTACAAAACTGGTCTCAAGAGAGGCTTGTGAAAATGAGCTGGTCAAGTTTTTAACCAATAGGGACGAGGACTTCTTCAATCGCGGAACTATGAAATTGCCTTCAAAATGGACAAAAGTTATCAAACAAAACGGCGCATATTTGATCTAAATCGGATAATCCTAACTATATTAATTTCATCGTCGAAATAAAGCAAAAAACGCTCAGAACTTTTTACTTCACTTAATATAAAATACATGTGAGCAGACTAATTACACGTACAATCACGGTTAGAGATTTCTGCAACTTTGACAGTGAAGAGTTCTTGAGAGAGATATCTTGCTACCACTGGAACGCTATAATAAACATAGATGACGTTAATATTAAAACGGACAAATTTAATAACTACATTTTAAACTGTTTAGAGAAACATGCTCCTCTCAAAATTATAACTCTTAAAACCTAAGCATCTGCCTGCTCCCTGGTTGTCTCCTGAGATCAGGGCTGCTATGGTATCTAGAGATAGGCAGCGTAGGAAGTGGCGTCGGCATCGGAGTGATGAAAATTACTCTCTTTATAAGACTCTATGAAACTATACACAGGAGCTAATTCGGAAGGCAAAGCAGGATCATTACTTGTCTGTTTTATCCTACATAAATGATCTTGCCAATACCTGGAAGACATTGAGACAACTTAGACTTGTGAAATGCAAATCATCGGACAAAAGTCTACTCTTTACCCTTGATAAAGTGAATACTTTCTTTTTGTCAAACATTTATAATGACATTACTGCTTATCCAAGCTCCGTGTATCTGGGTAACAAATCATATAAGAATATTAAATTCTATTGGAGACATATTGATAACGATGACATCTGTAGTGCTATCAACAATATTAAATCAGATGCCACTGGAATTGACAGTTTGTCTTTGAATATAATGAAATTAGCCTTACCATACATATTACATTGCTCATCTATTTAATTACTGTTTTCTGCATGGAGTATTTTCTACTCTATAGAAGACCTCTAAGACAGACTATGGAGCCATAGTCTGTCCTATACCTAAAGCTAAATGTCCTACTGAGCTTTCGCACTACAGGCCTATCTCAAACTTGTGTGATTTATCTAAGATCTTTGAACGTATCATTGCTGGCCAGTTAACTGAATTTGTTGAAAAGAATGATATCATTGACTAATATCAGAACGCTTATAGAAGAAATTATTCTACGCAAACGGAAAGAATCTAGACGATATCAGAAAAGCAATTGTCTCAAGAGAAATCACAGTTTCTATGTTTTTTGACTTCTCCAAAGCTTTCGACTGCGTCAATCATCATATTCTTATAGACAAGTTGAGAAACATGAACTTCTCTTGCTTTGCCTTACGCTGGATATGCTCTTACTTATTTGGCAGAATGCAAACCGTGCGAGATTTTGGAACGAGTGCCTTCTAGGAGAAACTGCCCGTCTTGAACGGCGTGCCGCAGGGATCAGTGCTTGGCTCTCTTCTTTTATCCTATATGTATCGGATTTCAAGAAAACTTTGTTTTACTGTAAATACAATTATTACGCTGACGACCTGATGATTTACATTAGTGCCAAGCCTGCTTTTATCAATAAGGCAATTGTTAGAATTAACTGTGACATTCGCAATGTGGTAAACTGGGCTGCTGAGAATAAATTGTCACTTAATGCAAGAAAAGCTTCTGCTATGATCTTTGGATCTATAAGGTACATTAAGAATCTATTGCATGACAATTTGTTGCCAATTACTGTTAACAATAGGATAGTTCCATACAAAAACTCTGTCGTTTATCTTGGCGTGGCTCTATCTAGTACCTTGGCGTGGGACGAACCAGTTAACAAGGGCGTGTTCCGTTTGACCACAGTACGATTCGACACCGCTCGATTCGACACAGATTTATTCGACACCAAATTATTCGACACCGTACGATTC